AGTTGTTGGGCGGTGGCGGGCTGATGGGTGGTGAAGAACTGGGCAGCTTGTCCCGGACCTGCCGCTTGGAACTGGAAGGCGGCAGTGGGCGCAGTCGTCTGCTGTCCGGGAGCAGCCGTCGCATAAGCGGCCTGGCCAGGAGTGGCTCCATGTGCCGCGGCTGTCATCATCATTGGAGCCGCCACCAGTTGGCCGCCGCTAACCAGCATCTGTGGGGTGATATGGCAAGAGGTGATGGGTGAGTTGAAGGGGAAGATGATGCCTGGGAAATGGGATTGGCTTAGCGAAAAAGACGGGAGCGACAAGCAAGACTCGGAGCCTCAGTCATTCAGCACGAGTTGGCTGAAGAACTGGGGTATTGGCCGGTATAAGCGAGGAGAAAAGGTGAAAAAGACAGTAAAACTGCATATAGAACGAAACGGGTACCAGTACCGTCATAGCTCAGGTCAGCATAGCCAGTCTGATCCAGGCATCAAGGTAGATTCATTCATGTCCATATACCAGCTTGTATATCGAGGAGAGTAAGCTTGATGTATCAATCATATAAATAGCCCCAAAAAGGATATGCATCTGATTTGAAGACATCTGATTTGAAGACAGGTTTTCTATAAATTATTGACTGAGGCATACGTGCATGGCATTGCTTTATCCTCTCGTGTCCAGAAGGTGATTGTCTCTAAACTGCCATTTCAAGAAGTGGGTTGACCTCGTTGTCGCAACTTGGTCCTGTTGTCAAGGCGACTTAAAAGAACACACCTGGTACATTCCTAAAAGTTTCGCAGGCGACCATACCGGAGGTCACACCATCTTGGTCTTCATATCTTTGATTAAAATGTCATTTCAAGTCCATCCTTTAAGGCGAAGAAAGGCATGAGATGAAAAGAGATAGTGGCCCACAGCCCTACTTCTGCACCATATCCAATGATGGTCGGACCTCCAAGGCCCAGCAGCGCACAAAAAGTCTAGATACTAAAAGTGGATTGACTTCGTTGTTGCAACTTGGTCTTGTCGTCAGGGTGACTTAGTAGAACACACCTAGTCCGAAGTCGTCTACCATAGTATTGTCATGATTCCCAACATCAGACAGTCGACTTGGTACATTCTCTAAGGTTTCGCTGGCATCGTAGTCGGCATCATCAGTGAGTTTTGTCATTCTCCGAACCAAGCTACGAACACATCAGAGACAAGTGAAGTCAATCCGTCCCACCATATCACAATTTTTGACTTGTTTACATTCCACTCGTCCAAATGTATGCCCTTTTGTGGCAAATCTAATGCGGCCTCATCACACTTGCTATTCACCACGACCCACTATCTTTGGATCAGCTGATCCGACTCGGGCCTCCAATCCTGATCCCCTCATTGCCTCGTAGATCCGTTCCTTATTTTTCTGGTTGACCGATTTCACTCGGTTCCAGTCCCAGTGTGCAATTCACTCCAGGCGCTATTTCTCAAGACCCTAGAAGCACGTACACTGTCGCTTCATTGAGCAGAATGCCTAAGCTCTCATTGCCATGCTTGCAAATATCAGACCTTTCCTTCGCGGGTCCTCTCTTTGATTAAATCCATGTTATCTGAGCAAGCCGTGAACGCGGCATGTCAAGTAGATTTCTAGTACATTTTGGCCATAACGCCGAATTTCTGTGACGGTTTGATTATCCGTCTGCCCAGCTCCCTGACTGCAAGGCCCCCAAAGTTGTACTGGTTTATTCGAAATGGACATCACTCACTGACAACGTCTTCGCTTTATTGCCGAAAACCCCTTCCACCCACTTTTTTCATCGAGATCCCTTTTCCTCCTGTTAGCAGTAGATCCTTGATTCAGGCGTCTTTTCTTTGCTGGCAAAGTTATCACTAACTCTACCTCCGTCCAATCTCCTGTTCATTAGACTTTTCTCCACAAGAATGTAAATGGCCTCCCTTATCTTGCGCGTCCTTGTGTTGTCACTGTATGGGACTCTTTTTTCTGTTATCTTCCAATTGATCTCGTGTCCAGTCTGTGCGATGTCTTCCCCAAATCCTGATCTTTCGGTATCCATTTTCCTGCAGAGCATCTGATGTTACTTGATTCGTAT